CAACCTGCTCTCCCCCAGGCGTCCACAACAAAAGCCTGATCTGCTGGGGGGGGGGCACTAGCTGCGCACCCCCCCCTCCCCCCAGCAGACCAGGGAGACCGGGAGAAGCTTTTCTCGCCCCGGAGGACACGGGTGGCGACCCGCCACCCGTGAGCTCCGGGGCGAGAAAAGCCCCGTTCGTAAGTCGGATCCGCGTAAGTCGGGGACTGCCTGTACTTGCAAATCTCTTGCATTACATTGGGCGCTCATACAGTATGTACCAAGTTCATCACTAGCATAAACAGACACAAATCCAGCACACATCAATGCATCTGGATTTATTCCTTTAGAAGCAGACAGAACTGAAATAATACTAGAGAAATGAGCAAGACACTGTCTAACCCAATACTTCTCACTTTTCCACAAGTTTGTGTTAATACATTATCAGGGGAAGTCAGTCTTATTTTAGGTTAAGCTGTCCATATGGGTATGGAATATATTTGCAGTTGCATTCAGCACCCAGTCACATACCAATTCATTTTGCTTCCACGAAAACATAGCCAAAGTCAAACATGCACTATGGTGTTTCAAACCACATTCTGAAGTCCTTAGATTATCAAAAAAGTCACATAAGGACACTAGACACATCATTCCATCTAGGGCAATAATTTTTAAAAAGGGGGCCACTTCACAAATGTCTGAATTGGCCCCGGAAGGGGCGGAGCCAGGAGACTTCTCACACTTCTCCCACCCACAGACCCTGACTGGGCTGGGGGTGGGGGAAGTGCATGAAGTCTTTGCCCTTTCCCCCCATCCCAGTGCCTAGAGAATGGCCAGTTGTCCTGGAGGCGGGGGAGCAGCAGGGCATCAGTGGGCCGGATCCGCCGGTTTGGCAGGCTGGATCCAAATCGCGGAGGCCTCTTTGCCCACCTCTGATTCCAGGTCACAATTAACATGTTGGTTTCCTTTTTCATTTCCATCTTCAATGGTGATATTAGAGCATCAGCAAGAGAAGAGGTTGCTTGTAAGCGTATATCTATATCACCACCAAGCAGACTTTTTCAATTAAAGATGAGCTTATGATTTTTCCCACCAATACCCTTAAGTTTCAGGGGGCTTGAGGACAAAATCCAGGATGAAATATAACATACTGCTGTCTTTAGTTCTACAGAAGGACATAGGAAGACTAGTTACTGTTTGCAGTATCCTCCCCTACAAGCCTGAAAACACTAATACATGTGTGCTCCAAGCAATCTTTATTCTGCCCTTGCAGTGTTAGTGGCACCAGAATTACACTTCTTGTAATATTCCAGGTTTTTTATTCAACACAAAAGAACTCTGCTGCAAAACCATCAAAGAAGAATCAAGTATTGTTTGTAAGTCCTATTTAAAGAAAACTAGAAAACGTATTCTACTATTCACAACTTTGAAATTAATAAGATTCTCAGTCAGATCACAACAATGGCAACAGAAGATACAGAATGCACTCTCAGAAAATCAAGGCCAAATGACGTTATTCAGATGAAATACAAATAAAGCAAATTTTTTTAACACAAGGGGGGGAGGGGTTTGGCAGGGGGAGGAGAAGGAGCAGCAACAGAAGAAAAGAAACAGCAGAACAAGCATAAGAATGAGAATCAGAAGAAGCAGCAGCAGAAGTAGCAGCAGCAGATGAAAAGAGCAGTGGTAGCACCAGAAGAAGCATCATCAAAAGAAGAAAACAGGGTGAGGGGTTTGGCAGGGGGAGGGGAGGGGAGGGAGGGCAGGGTTGTTTCTTTTAACAAAATATTGTTGCTAGTCTTAAAAATTATGATCTATAGTTGCACATTAACAATAATGGAATTGTGACTATTATAGTAGCCTGGATGTTAAACCCTTGGGCTGTGTCTACATTGGCCGTGAGTTCTTGTGCAAGAACACTGATGTTCTAATGTATGAAATCAGTGCTTCTTGCACAAGAACTATGATGCTCCCACTCAGGAATAAGCCCTCTTGCGCAACTGTTCTTGTGCAAGAGGCCAGTGTAGATAGGCAACATGAATTTCTTGCGCAAGAAAGCCCTATGGTTAAAATGGCCATCAGAGCTTTCTTGCGCAAGCGAGCGTCTACACTGGCACGGATGCTCTTGGGCAAAAGCACATCTCTTGCACAAAGGCACATGCCAGTGTAGACGCTCTCTTCTGGAAGAGTTTTTGCACAAAAACTCTTCCGCAAAAGAGTTCTTGCAAAAAATCATACCAATGTAGACGTAGCCTTCGAGTTTGTGGAAATATCTCTCTCGGTTACTTTGACTTGGATATAGCTTCAGGAGAGAACTGCAGAAGAAATCAATGACCAGACAACACAATCAATGAATCTCATGTTCAGAAATATCTGGGTCTTTGCTTATCAACTTGCATGTGAGTTGTGTTGGCTCCAGTCTATTGCCGACAGAACAGGTATTGCAGAGCACAGGCAGTGGGAGTGCAAGCTTCTGTCTGATGGGTTTTTTCCCCCTCTTCCACATGTAGCATGTATGCCTACCCTGACCTGGAGGGACCACTTTAAACAGTAAGCAATTGATAACTGATTTAGCTCTCTGTTCCCATTCAGCTTTGGCCTTTATGAAAGTGCCAAGAAGGTTACTCTTTACATGGAGCAAGTCTGCCATCTGATTTCATGAAAACCCAGCTGGATTTGAATCTGCGACCTAGAATGGTATGTACTAGACATGTTAAAATTAGATCAACTAATCAAACAGTCAATGGAATTTCCATCATTTATTCAATTCGTCGATAAGGGTGCTTCTGCTTTGAAAATGTAGCAAGAGCCCGTCTGGCTGTTGCTACTTTTCAAAGGCAGAAGTGCTGTGGAGCCTTCCACCTTTGAAATGTACAAAAGCCCCAACAGGGGCTCTTGTGCATTTCAAAGATTGCAGTGCCGGTGTAGCCTGGGGCCTGCAGGGGACTGAGTCCCAAGCTCCATGCAGTGCTTCCACTCTGAAATGTACAAGAGCTGCCAGCATTTCAAAGGAGCAGCGCCACATGGCACTTGTAACCCAGGCTTCATGTGGTGCTGCTGCTTTGAAATATTCCCTCTTTGCTGCCTCTGTCTGATAGAGGCAGCAAGGGGAGGGGCAGTGACTAGTCGACTAGTGTGTCGACTATCCAGTAAGCTTTTGCTTATCAGATAGTTGATTAGTCACTTACATCCCTAGTCTGTATCCCATTATTAATCCCGTGAGCCATGTAGTCACCCGTAAGTCTGTAAGTCAGTGGTCCCTGCCCCAGCGCCTGCCGAGGCATTTATGTGCACCCACCGAGTGACCAGGGCTGGCCCAAGCCATTCTTGGGCCCCGAGCGCCCAGCAGCCCCAAAGGTTGGGGACCACTGCTGTAAGTGATAACTTGACTAGGAATGTTAACAGGTAACTGGTTAACAGGTACTAGAAGCAGAAGCCTGGCATAGGACCCTTGCAGTGCTGGAGCACCCCTTAGCCCCTTTTTTGAGACCTGGGAGTCACTCACAGTGGACCACAGAAAAGGGGCTGAGGGGTGCTCCAGCACTGCTAGGCTCCTATGCCAGGCTTCTGCTTCTGGCCCCAAGCAGGCTGGGAGCCAGCAGCCCTGTGCAGGGCTGGAAGCAGCTACGCTGGAGTAGGTATGTAAGCAACTAGTCAACTACCAGATATGCATAGACTTATCAGGTAGTCAAGTCACTACTCTGACTAGGGAGTCGGAGACAGCAAGGGGGGGACATGGTGCAGTTAGGAATCGGCTTTTAAATTCTAGACTCTGCAGCATCACTGACTGACTCCCTGTGAGGCCATAGGCAACTCACATGAACTTTCTGACTGCAGAGTAATTTCTAGAGAGTGGTTGAGAGGCTTAATTATTTAAGGTTTTTACAACACGTCAACCATTTGTTTTAAGAATTACTTTTACCAAGCTACCTCTGTTGCTTCACATGTAAACACAATTTTAAAAAGACTTAAAAAATTGTAACACCGTTAATGCTGGCAAATTATAAGCACAAATAGTTGCATACCTTCTTCTACCTCTCCATACTTCTTATTATGGGGAACTGCATGCAAAATACATGTCCATAAAAGATAAACAAGGCTGAAACTACCATCAAGTGTTTGCTGCACTGGAATTTTAGCCACCAGCATAGCTGCACAAGCACACACGTCTAGCATGTAGTTTAGCTTGTCTCAGTCTAATTACATATGGTGTAAATTGTGTGTGTAGAGGCTTATGCCAATGCAGCTACACAAGTGGCTATAGCCTCATTGTCCAAAAGGCTTTCCAAAGGTCTAGTGTCAAAGCAGGCATCGCCCTATTTCCGCAGGGCATGCCAAGACTAGCTGTTGCTGGCAGAATCCTCTTTCAAGATGGAACAGAGACAGCAACCACAGAGAAATCCTATTGTGTAACATTCTGATTATTAATTGCGTGCCAGCCATTTCTGTTTGCAATGGTATTTCTGTAGATTTCCTCCACTGACTGTGTAGCAGTTTTGTTTCTGCTTTGTGTACAATATTATTACAGCATGGTTTTATCTACTTGATTAATTATACTTGTACCTGCAAGTTCATAGTATAAGATCAAGAAACAAATATCAGTAAAAAACACACAGGATCTATTTGTTAAAGCTGTGTTTTCTATCTCTTTGGTGTAATAGCCCATATTCTGTGGGACACTGTGTTCTCGCTTCACCATTGCTAACTGATTTCATTTGTCATTTCCTTCCATTCTGTTCTCAGAGAGACTGCTGTGTGCTTCACTTTCCTAACACTGTACACTCTAGGACCATCTCTTTTCAAGCAAATCAATTTTCTAATCTGAGTAAGGGAGCAGTAGCCCAGCCGAAAGGCACAAAGAAATCACTAAGTCCGTCAGTCACAGGAAGGTTGGATTCTAACTAGCAGACACTTATCAGCAGGACTCCTGTAAAAACCAGTCAAGATCTTTCTCTTCATGATCTTACAGCCCAAGAGCATCTGCTGTTCAGATTGAAGAAGTATTTTCCTGATTAACTGTCTCACTCAGTTTAAGAAAGAAAACAGATCAGTTTGATTAAGAATAATTTGTCAACATGTCCAGGACTTAAGATATTAAACACGCATCTCACAATATTTGGTGTTGTCTTTAAAGCTTCAAAATCTAGAATCAGGTGACTACATGAGAATTTCAGGTTCTATAAACAAGGTTTCTAGCCCTCATGATTGCATCAGAAAAAGCTTGAAAATCTGAATCCCAACAGCTCAAAAACCATATGGCAAACAAAAGGATCCCAACATTTATTATTTTTTAAATCTCACACTTCAGAGGGGGAACACAAAAGCCAGGGAATCCAGAGTTGTGTGACTTTATCCAAAATTTGACTGCACTGACTCTGCCTGACAAGAGACCAGATGCTGGTACAGAGGAACTTGTGCCAATCTATCAATGTATTTGTCAGGACAGGAATGGATACATTCTTCTGGACAATAATGGGCCCCTGATTACAGCTGCAGCCACCATGCACTACTGTAACCCAAACCATTACATGAACAGTATGAATAATTGAAATGTATCAATCTAGCAGTGAAGCCATGTTACGTATTTATGGTCTGAGCTAATTAGAAATAAAATATACAGTCTAGTATTTTCCTATATTGATTGGAATTTTTTAAATATTGTGAGGTTCTTTTAGAAGTTTGTGTTTTGGGCTTCTTTTTAAATGAAACAGGAAATTGATCTTTTCGCCTGCAATTCCTATGAATCTGTTACTGTGTGTAAGGCTTACACAAGGTTTTCATATGTTAGGTTTGCTTCTCTTGCTGAGTAGCAATAAGGATGATATGAAGTTATTGGACATTATCTCATCCTTTTTCTCCTGCTAAATGCATTAATAAATTGGTTAGAGTAGAATGTACTGGCTTATCTTTCAAATAGCATCAAGTCTTGGTATTACATCCTTTTCCTTTGCAGTTTTTTGTTATACAAATCTAACTAATAGCACCTCGAGTCTTAAGAGCACAAAGTAGCATTTGGGTAGATAATGTGAACACAGCCTCTGGAACACTGTTTTATTTGAGTAAAATTATACGCTTAATTTCCCACCTTCACTGAAAGAGGCAGTGGAGAAAAGAATTACGACCACATTGGACAACAAGATCAGACCCCTTATCATTCTGGCCATCAAAAATAAGTATCAACACGGTCATGATTCTGATTCAGGCTTCCTTGCATGTCTCCAGCTACCAGAGGGAATCTATAGGATGGAGGAAGAGGAAAGGACTATGCACAATTAACAGATAATAAATTGGGACAAACGTGCAAGAAGCAGCTAGTCAGCCAAGTTTTCTAGCAAAAGATGTCAGATTATCAGATGGGGAAATACTGGCAACCCGATCCTTAGTATCACGAGAAAGAAGATCAAAATCTGTAGTACCCTAATAAACCCAGGAGAGGTTGGATCAACTAATTGTAATATGTAGTTCCTTAAGGAAATGGAAGCAACAAAATAAGTAACACAGTACAGGCAGTCCCCGAGTTACGCAGCTCTGACTTATGTCGGATCCGCAGTTACAAACAGGGCTTTTCTCGCTCTGGAGGATGCCCAGATGCGCCAGAGTAAGACACTGGACAGAGACTCAGGAGATGTGGGTTTAGTTCTGGCATTCAGAGACATATGTGTGACCTTGAGCAAATCACTTAATCTCTGTTTCTCAATCCCCTTTTTCCCAAACTTTTTTGTCTGCCTTGATTTATATTGTAAGCTCCTCCAGACAGAGACTGTCTTTGGCTATGTTAATTGCGAGTCTCATGATGTCATGCTCAGGCCATTACATTCTAATGCTCCTAATAATCTGCCAAATGAGTCGTTTTAAAAATAAACATGCTGTCCTTGGGCCCTTTAAAAGGGTGTTTAATGGTGCATATTTTTCCTAGTGGACAGTGAAGCTAGGATGTTGCATCCTGGCAGTTGGGATAGGAAATACTGGAAATACAAGCCAGCTGACGTTTTTATCTTAATAAAAGGAACTGCTGCTTGTGGCATTTCACTGCAAAGATCACAATGGCTGCAAAGATCACAATAGTTTCCCAGGAACTACCTGCCAGACAGAATGACTGGGAGAAGGATTCATGTAGAATTCCTTTATGATATATTTAATGATGCCAATAGAGCACAGATGCTAAATTGTCTGCAAATGCTGCTCCTTCAGGATCTGGGGAAAATGTTAATGTAGCTGTGAGAGAGACCTGGCGTAAGGGCAATGTAGCTATTCTGAGTAGCCATATTGTGAAACCCAGATCTTCACTGAATATTCTGTGTGTACAGGCAGTCCCTGGGTTACGTACAAGATAGGGACTGTAGGTTTGTTCTTAAGTTGAATCTGTATGTAAGTCAGAACTGACGCCAGTTCTGACTTACATACAGATTCAACTTAAGAACAAACCTACAGTCCCTATCTTGTACGTAACCCAGGGACTGCCTGTACACACAGAATATTCAGTGAAGATCTGGGTTTCACAATATGGCTACTCAGAATAGCTACATTGCCCTTACGCCAGGTCTCTCTCACAGCTACATTAACATTTTCCCCAGATCCTGAAGGAGCAGCATTTGCAGACAATTTAGCATCTGTGCTCTATTGGCATCATTAAATATATCATAAAGGAATTCTACATGAATCCTTCTCCCAGTCATTCTGTCTGGCAGGTAGTTCCTGGGAAACTATTGTGATCTTTGCAGCCATTGTGATCTTTGCAGTGAAATGCCACAAGCAGCAGTTCCTTTTATTAAGATAAAAACGTCAGCTGGCTTGTATTTCCAGTATTTCCTATCCCAACTGCCAGGATGCAACATCCTAGCTTCACTGTCCACTAGGAAAAATATGCACCATTAAACACCCTTTTAAAGGGCCCAAGGACAGCATGTTTATTTTTAAAACGACTCATTTGGCAGATTATTAGGAGCATTAGAATGTAATGGCCTGAGCATGACATCATGAGACTCGCAATTAACATAGCCAAAGACAGTCTCTGTCTGGAGGAGCTTACAATATAAATCAAGGCAGACAAAAAAGTTTGGGAAAAAGGGGATTGAGAAACAGAGATTAAGTGATTTGCTCAAGGTCACACATATGTCTCTGAATGCCAGAACTAAACCCACATCTCCTGAGTCTCTGTCCAGTGTCTTACTTATAAAACCACTGAGCTGCAGAAATGTTCTTAAAGCTAAACAAATTATGAGATGCATCGAGGCAACACAGCATGTAGAGAACACATAAATTGACAAAGGTTTGCATTCATCCAAGATCACAATACAGGGAGGCAGATTAAAAAGCAGAAATACATTGCATCTGGTGAAACAGTCACCAGTTCCTCTAGAACACACTAAAGAAATCAGGCAAAAGTGGTTCAGGTTGAAATTAGAAAAAAAAAATCACTTCAATATGCCTTTCCAAAAGTCCTGCAAATGATACATCTGGGGGAGGTCTGCATTGTTGCACACACACAGAATTCATGTTCCCTACAAATTATTCTTTTCCTCTGCAGAAATAGATTTTGCCAGAGAACTGCTGCAATTACATCTTTTGCCCAACAATGTCTGCTGTAGAACAGAACAGAGTACAGTTGGCTCAAGTCAGAGCAGCCAGCTGCAGAGAGGGAGGAAAAGAGCTGAATTCCTCACAGCCCATTCTCCCCCCACTCATGGAGACAAGTGAGGAGACCTGAAATACAGACGGGGGACAGAGCAGGGCGCAGCAGAATGCTGGGGGACTCTAAGAGGGGGGACACACTGGGGAAAGGCACAGGAGCTAACAGGCTGTCAGCACAGACACGGGGCAGGATGGTATTAGGGATGCAAGGACGTATGGGGACAGCAACAAATGTACTTGACTAAATAGGAGGCTAGAGGTCAGCCAGAGACTTCATGAGAGAGGTTCCCCAACTGCCTGACAAACCCACCCTCCCCTTCCCCCCCCAAAAAAACACGTTCCATATTTACACACACACACACCCCTACATTCACATTGTCCAACCTTCTTGAGCTGAGATGTTTACTTGGTTTTAGTTGTAAACTCTGTGTGTGTGGTGTTTTCCTATGGACACTCTCTGCGGTGTTTTCCCAAATTAATTCCACATTACTTCCTGCCCCTTTAATAAGAGATTTCTTTTCTACACTCAGACTCCAAGCATTGCCTCCCCGAAGTGCCCAAGGGTGTTGTGTGAATTTCCCAGATTACTGGGTGGGGTCTCGAGCCAGTTCTATGTGAGATGGATAGCGAGGAACCCCTAGACATTAAACCCGGCCCTGGCTGCTGCTGGTGCTACCTGGCAGAAGGGTTTCACCCTTACTGCTCACGCCTTTGCACCAACTCTGAGGGGCGTAGGAAATACATTTCTGTATTGGAGTTTAAATGAATTACTCAACATTCTGTTTTAATATGCCTAGTAAAGAATCTGTCCTTTTCCTAAAACTTTTTGTTATGTATATTATTGCAGACACACTTGCTGAGGTATTTTAAAATAATTTACCACATATTTCAAACTGGTGTGATTAATGTGTGCTATTTGACAAAAAATATTTAGAAATTTGCAGAATTTTAAGATGTTGTGTGAAGAATTTTTTGGCACATATTTTTCCCAAGATTAACAACAAGTCATCAAGAACACCACCCAGCACAAGGGGAATGCTTTGCTGTCAGGAAGCACATTCTGTTAGA